TCTGCAAGGCAGGGACCAGATGGTGCTCCTCTTCTTGTCGGAGCACCCGGCAAATATATGTAATTTTTATATATGTATTTGTTGTAGACCAAAGCAATCTGGGATTAAATTTAGCTAAGACAGTGCCTTCAAGACTGTGCTAACATGGCAATATTGCTTCCCAGGACCTGTGCTAGGATCTCGGCCATGTCCTGCAGCATTACCATGGCAAGAGAGACTCCTGGGCCCTGTAGTTCCTTCTGTCCCAAAGACTTCTCTTCAAGCCAGACCTGTTTTCTGTTCCCAGCTTTGCCTCTGATCTGTTACCTGATCATAGGCAAGTCACTCAAACCTTCTTGAAACCTTTTGCACGCTGTATATCCTGTCTGGTCTAGATCCACTACAGATTGCTAGGTCTACCAAATGCTGCGTTGCAGTCGGAGGCCAATATTTGCGCTTCCGTAATAAAAATTCTGGGAAAGAAGCTACTCTTCACCATGTGTTTGTACAGTGCCTCACGCCAGGGAGCACTGATCTATTACAGATAATAAATAGTCATCGAATAGCTTATCCTTCTACCAATTCTGGTTCAGAGAAAGATAAGATCATTCACCTGCAAAACCCTTCATTGGCTGGGAGCCTTTTTGTGCACATTTTCTATATTAATATCAAGCAGGATTTAGTCTATTAAATTTAAGTGGTACATGGTGTACATGTTCAGTACTGCCAACGCTCTTTTCTTCAATAAATGTGCTGTGCATATATGTCGTAAGCATCAGTAGCAATATATGATTTGATGATGTTGAGTTACTCGGGTTCTCTGAACAGAAATTTGTCTCAATTTTTTTTAAAAAATACATCTCTAAATAATTTATTTAAACTTGCAATTATGAAAACTTGCATCAAAGCCTAATTGTACTAATGAAGCCTTTTTAATTTAAATTATAATACTGAAATATTTCTGTTGCTGAAGTTTCAAAGAAAGTAGGAACATCCAACAATGGAACATTATTAACTAATTACCTGGAGTGAGCACTGAAATGATAAAACTGCTTTTTGGAGCTGCAGCTTCTTTTGCAGGTGCAGAGATAACGTTTTCTTTTCTGGTTAGAACAGGTCATTTCAAAGTGGAAAACAGGTCTGACAGCTGGGTAAAAAATACGTTCTCCTCTTCCTATGTATGATTATAAAATTAATGGAGGAGGCTAAGATACTATCTAAATGTTGGTCCAATCCAAAATAAGAGTAGGAGCATATTCCAGACACTGAAGTGCAACATTTTAGAGCAATAAAGTAAAGTAAGCCAGTAATACCACGTTTGTTTGCAGTCTGTGTTTTTCTAACATATATATCTGGCTCCTGGTCAAAAACTGGTTTGTATCTTTCACATGTAGAGGTGTAGAAGTCTGCCTACAGGCCCCAACAGTGATGAAAATGTGCTTTCTTTTTTCGTTGGTTACTCAACTGCAAAGTGGGGACATCACAATTCTACCTCACAAGCATGTTGATACAACTTCCAGCTACTAAAATGCTAGCCCTGATCCCATTATTTCCACAGAAACTTATTTGTAAATATAATTAAACTTCTCCAATCTTTTTCTTCCATGAGGCAGTTCAGGTGGTTGCGTGTCTTGACTTAGATTCTCTGTGAGCTTTTGAAAAATAACAATGAAATTAAAACAAGTGGAAAGCCATTCTCACAAATGCATTCAACCTCTCTCCCTCTGTTATGCCGTAGCCATGGACAAAAATGTGACAGATAACCAAAAGAAGGTATTTCTTTGGTACTTTCACAAAATATTTGTGTTCTGTGGAGGTTTGAAAAGACTTCATGTTCCACAACCATCTGTCTTCCCATGCTAACATGAATAAGTGATAGCAATTGCTGCTGGGTTTTTTTTCCTCTGTTGAAAGGTTCATATGTACTGACCCTATTCTGGAATTTTTTATTGCATAGTGGATCCACTCCTATAGTACAGCAGCAGGTGCTGGAACATTTGCCATTTGTATAATGTTAGCAAAGTAATTCTTTTTCTTTTTCTTTTCTGTTTTTTTTTTCCCCCTATGGGAATTATTTCAAAAGCGAAGGGGACCATTGGAGTTCTTTGTCTTATGTCTAAAGGTCATGAAATTTAATCCAATACTTGACCCCCAGGCAACAAGTCATTGTGCACTAGGCATGGAACAAGAGAGGTCAGGGCACATCACCTTATGGCACAAGTAAGTAGGTCAGAAATGACTGGACTGTCTTAGTATTGATACATGTGTGTGCTAGGAAGAAAGGAAGATGTTTCTCAGGATGTTTATCTGTCTACGCTGAGGGGAAGGACATACAGTTCTACCTTGGTCCCAGTCTGACATGAAGTATGACTAAGTATGGCCCCAGCTGATTGGCAGATTTTGCCACCCAGGGATCAGTGAGCGTTTTCAGTTCTCTGTGTCTGAGTCCTGGTACACTCCAGCTCATGACCCAAGTCCCAGTGGGGCCCTGAGAGGAAGGTTAAAAATACTTCAAGCTGCATCTTGCTAAGAGGAAGGTCATAGCCCACCGGGTGATTAACTGAAGCTTGAAATGTGAGATTTTGTTGTAATCTGTGTCTTGATGTGTAACTGCAAGTGTAATGGGAAAACTGAGGCAATCCTGTACACCCCAAAGCCCTTGAAGGGTAGTGACTGAGGCAACTTATAAAGCCACAGATCCTATGGTTTCAAATGATTCCAAAGTACTAACTGCAGTCTGAATAGGAAATAAATATTGAAGAAGGTTTGTTACTTGTTGAAAACTGCTGCTTCATATGAAGCCAGGTTTTGGGCTTCAAGAAAAGGGATGAAATCTGCCAGGGCAGCACTTTTTACCTGTTTAAAGATGTAGAACTCAGACCAGGTTTTCTCGTAGCATTTAGTTTTATTTTCCATTTTCAGTAAACTCCCATTCTTCCATGCATACTTATCACAGCCATGACCTGACCTCATAAGGAGGCTGCCTGCCTAACCACAAACCTAACTGGAGGATTCTTGCTTACAACAGGTTCATATGAGAGCAGTCTTGTCTTTGCTTTCCTATTTTACTGTTTCATCTCTGTTGAAACTGCCTGCAAGCTGCCCTCTTAATGGGTGCCATGCTCTTACAGGCCAATCTGCCCCTGCTGCAGCGGGAGCTGCTGCACTGTGCAAGGCTAGCCAAGCAGAACCCAGCCCAGTACCTCGCCCAGCACGAACAGCTGCTTCTGGATGCCAGCACCACCTCACCTGTTGACTCCTCAGAGCTGCTTCTCGATGTGAACGAAAACGGGAAGAGGCGAACTCCAGACAGGTGAGCACCACCATGACTTTCACACCCCACTCTGTGTGTATGTGTGTATAGAATCATAGAGCGGTTTGGGTTGGAAAGGACCTTTCTTTAAAAGTCATCTAGCCCAACTTCCCTGCAGTAGGCAGGGACATCTTCAACTAGGTTGGGTTGCTCACAGCCCCATCCAACCTGGCCTTGAATGTTTCCAGGGCTGGGACCTCCATCACCTCTCTAGGCAACCTGTGCCAGTCTTTCACCACTCTCGTAAAAAATGTCTTCCTTATATCTAGTCTGAACCTACCCTCTTTTAGTTTAAAAGCATTATCCTTTGTCCTATTGCATGTGTACATTTATATACATACATATATATAGAGAGAGACATACATATATATAGAGAGAGCTACATATATATAATATATTATTAATATATTTTATAATGTGGAAAACTTTTACAATGCTATTCTGCCAAATGCCACTTCCTGCATGCCCAATGCATGGCAAGTGTCCTAGTTATCTTTTAAATGAAAAAGGTAAGGATATGCAAACTCAAGAAGGCTTGCAATTTTGCACAGATGACATTTCGTGTAAGGACAGGCCAAGCAGCAAAAAACCTAAGAGAAACGAAGTCTGAAAGCTCACAGTAAAACTTGAAGGCTCTCATAGCCAGAAGTGAACAGTAAAAATTAAAATAACACAGCCATTAGATAGATGAAAATGTGAAAGTATTTGAAATTAGTTTGCTTTAGATTGTGTTCTGGGATAATCACTAGAGACCAGCAAGAAAATTAAGATACCAGCAGAGCAGCTCTTTTCTGTGTGCCCTCTTTTCACCATTTTTCCCTGGCAACTAGACCAAACTGAAACAGCCATTGGTGTTAACACAAACCTGCTAATTGCATCCAAGAAAGATGATTAATTTTTAGGCTTTTTCCATGTAGTCTCTTACTCTATGCAGAAATAACATTTCCAAAGCCGAAATCTAGCTCTCTGAGGCAGTTCTGCTACATATCCTCAGTCTTTGCAGAATAGTATACCTAAATGGCTATTAAAAAGGCCTCTTAAAATTATCTGGTGCATCTTGAATATTAGCATGCTGTAGTCCAGTGTCAGCAGTCCAGTGCTTTTCCTACAAGTTGACAGAACACATGAAGTCATCACATAAGCCTTGCAATGTGAGGTCTTGCTTGACAGAGATTACAGAGGAGGAGAAAGATGTGCCTTCCTGACAGCCCTAGCTCACTTTCTGGTGTTAATAGAGAGTGGTATTACTTGCTTTTCCCATAAGACCACAAAGGAAAAGTGAGCAGTAAAATATTTCCTTTGTTTTTCTTCTGTAACATTCTGGAATAACACTCCTTCCCCACTGAGACCCAGTTTGACAGTGCCGAATTTCAGTTATTTTGTAGTAGGTACAGTGTCTTCAGTGCTGGTGGCATGGGAGAGGATGGGTGATGCAGGTATAGATTCGTGTAAGAACTTAGTAATGAAAAGACCCTTTAATAGTCTTACAGCAAAAAGGACATAGGAGTAGCCCATAGGGGGACCAGCAGATCAGAAGAATACTGGATTTTAAAGTCAGCCTTCAGCTTTTAATTAAAACTGAGGCCTAGACCTAGAGAGATATAACTCTGGTTTATGCATTTTGTCCTTGGTGTTTCTTTTTAGTTTCTTTTTTGGTTAAAATATGTAGGCTTTCTCGAAACTCTGAGGTCTTTGCTTATGAGGAAGTGCCTTTGGCTTCACAACTGAAGTCTCTCTGAGGCTCCATCCAGCTGGGGGAGTCTTCAGTTCCTCTTCTCTTTGGCTTCACAACTGAAGTTTAACTTCCAGTGTTGTGGGTAAGACCCTGTGTTCGAATTCCCAGGGTCCAGGCAGGGGCCGTAACGCAGGGTGTCCCACAGGCCAGCACCCTCTGAGGTGGCAGAGCTATGAACCAGCAGCCTCTCTCGATTTCTGCTTGAAATCAGATTCCTTAGTTCTGGGGAAGAGGCATCTAAAAAAAAAAAAAAACCAAAACAAAACAAACAAAAACCAACTTTCTTTTTTTGGGTCCGGACATTTTTGCTGTCATAAAAGACTGAACTGCCCAGCTCATGAATTGGAATTGTGCCTTGAGCTTTAAAATAAGGGTGTTTTTGCAGTACCAAACAATTCTGTCTCTGGTTATTCAGACCTACTTCTCTGCTGACTATGATTAAAGCTATACAGAAAAACATAAACTCCTGCGGTAGTTTTGACTGAATCAAGTTTGGTGGAATTGTCTCGTGCGCTCAAGAACATTTGTACTACAGATTTAGGAAAAAGACGAGATCTCATTGGAAAGATTCTTAAATTTACTGAATGGGAGTTTACATACCTTATAATTTGGATAATGTAAGTAAATCAACCACAAGAAAACTGTCCTCAGAGTCAGAGCATGCCTAGACTGAGTTTTTGAAACCAAATACTTGTCTGCCTTTATACCATTACACTATTATTTTAATTGTTTACAGAGGAATAGAAGGAAACATCTGGAAATATATATACCTTTTGTTTAGATATATAAGTAGTTTTCAAATATACTAATAAAAATACAGTAGAAGATAGGAGGCATTCTTTGCAAGGAGAGTTTGCTGTGACTCTTTTGCTAGAATATGGAGAAAAATTTCTAAAAGACAACATCTTTCCAGGGGAACTCAAGGCAATTGGAATAATTATTATTTTTTTTTTTTTTAGATATGTCACTCATTAAGTTAAATTGTGGTGTCTTTTTCACTTCTCAAAGGATATGGTATATGCACACATACGTTGTATATAATGTGTATGTAATATGGATATTACATAACATAGATGTATCACATACAGACGTGTGTATGATACCTTTAGTATTTAGTAGAAATATATATGCACACACATTCTTCCATATTTACATTTTTCTTTTGGGCATGGGTAACTGCATACTGTTGATTCCAATAGAGGTAAAAATGCAGTAAAGAATTAGGCAAAGGAAGTGGAACCTGTGTGTTGCACATAATCACATCCACCTTGTAAGATTTTGTTAAAGAAAATCCACATTCAGTAATTTTTTCTGCTTATAATTTCCGACCCTTTTTTGCATATGCATTTTCCAGTTTTGGTTATTTATCTGCATATCCAAGTCTACTGTATGTGAGGTTTTATAGAGCAATCTGACAGCAGAGCTTTGTGTTTTACTGAATGTTTTCTTGGTGCATATGGTCTGACACGGATGAGCAGCCACGGTGAGATTTTGGAGTCTATTAAACTAGCTCATTAAAAAGATCAATCTGTTTCTGTAATAACACTGGGAACCATCAGTCACTGCAAGAGAGAAAAACTGACACCTGAGGAGACAACACATTTTGGTAATTTGTTCATGACATGTCATGAACAAAGTGTTCACTATATTTTGTTTACAACTTTTGGAGTTTACATTCTACTGTAGTAAAGCAAAAGAACTTGGACCAGTGTGAGTTTTTGTTTTGGTGAATGAATGCTTGCTTATAAATAACATGATTTAAAATACATTAACCACAAAAGACTTTTTGCTAATTAGTCATCCCTTGAGCTTGCTGGAAAGGGCTGTGTGTGTGTCATACAGTGACTCTACATTTATGACAGCTGCCTATAAAATGAATACAGGACTGCAAAAAAGTCTGTTAGAATAGCTCTAATTTTGAGTGAGAAGAAAACAAAAATGGTCATGATTGTTTTGTGACTTTAGAAAGTACTGCTGTGCTTGCTGTACTGTTGGCACCCCTGACAAGGAATTCATGTTGAAGGTACTTGGGCACAGAGACTGACTTTGACAGTTCTGTTAGGTGAATCTTATGTTAGCAAGGCAATATTAATCTTTTCTATAACACAGTATTATAAACAAAATAAGTTTATCACTTGTTTGGTTACCAAAACTGTATTGGTAGGAGTGCAATTTAAATCAAAGCATCTCACACAAATAGCTTTCCTTGCAAGCTGACTTCAGTGTTCTTTGAAATTGGTGTAATACTTTGTTTCCTAGATAAGGCAGTTTTGCATGGTCAGATTTCCTACCCAGGAAATTATCCATGAAGTGCAATAATTTAAAACTGAAATGATAACTTACAAACAACATAAGGTCTGTTAAATGGGTACAGACTAATGACCAGTATCTATTCTGCTGTCTTTAATCTGAGTAAATCATGGCTTTAAGTAAAATGACCCCTTGCATGTTTATAACTGAAGGACCTCAGCTTTATCATATGGCCAGTTTTCCAAATGACAGTGTCTGTTTATGTGCACATCAAGGAAAATGTGACCAACAAGAACAAGAAAAAACAAAAAAATGTGTCAGGCTTCCTTATACATTCACTATTATTTCCTCTCTACATATTATTATTGCTTTGCAAAATCAGATGGATCAGATTAAATCAGATTAAAATCGTGGTTGTTTTGGATTTAGAACTAGTGCTCGCACGAGTCTGCCAGTTGCTGTGAAACAGGAATGTTTCCTCAGGCACCTGGGGAAATGATGCTGTCCCATCGGGGTGAGAAGCAGAGCAGTAGGCTGAGTTCAGGGTAACTGAATTATGTCACTCTTCAGTCTTTTATCACTATATTCAGTATATTCAGATATAGTAAATTTACTAGTGATTCCTGTTCTGATGAGACTTTGGATGTTATTACCTTTTAATAAAGGTGAGGGTGGTGAGGCACTGGAATAGGTTGCCCAAGGAAGTTGTGAATGCTCCAACCCTGGCGGTGTTCAAGGCCAGATTGGACAGAGCCTTGGGCGACATAGTTTAGTGTGTGGTGTCCCTGCTCATGGCAGGGAGGTTAGAACTAGGATGATCTTAAGGTCCTTTCCAACCCTAACTATTCTATGATTCTAGTATATTTTATATAGCCAGAAACACAAAATTACTGAATTTACAGTCTCATTCTGGTATTCTGCTATGTGGTTTATTTAGTCAGTGCAGAAAATATAACAACAAATTGTAGAATTAAGGTTTTAACACCCAGAAAAGACCTGAGAATTGTTACCAGCATAAT